CCCTTCTTTATATGATCAACTTCCCCCCAAAACCCCGCGTCCAATTAATCTTAATACCCTCTTATCTATATCCGATAAACCCAGCTTTTTATGTCTTTGCAAACATATTAATAAACATAACATTAGATTATAATCCCCTACCATAGCATACCTATTTATTTATCTATTGCAATATTTTTTAAGTATTTTTTATTATAAATAGAATTTGTGACGTTTGTTTTGTGGTGTTTTTTTTAGGTCAGAGAAAGAGCACACTCAAGGAAGTAAACGGAATTAACGTGTAAAACACTACTTACCGAGCAATTTCTTTCGTGTCTCCCTCACAACGGGACATTGGCAGAATTTCTGTGTATAACGGAAAAAGGCCAAGAAAGTAAATCGATGCAAAATAAAGTTTAGCCATAATAATATAGTTTACAAGATCGTTTTTTAAAAGACAATAGAAATGTGTTTATTTTCATGATTTAAAAAAAAAATACTGATCTCTTATTTTAGAACGTATGATTTTTTCAATGAGGAAATATTTAAAAAAAATAAAGAAACTACAGAAAATTGTCACTAGATGGCAGCACAAATTGTTGGATCTAAACGTCAATTCATGACGTTAAACCAAAGAGAATAGATTTGTTAGTGTTGTTATGGATCTGATAACTCGGATTAATATCGAGTTGAAATTTAACTAGTTCGAGTTATGCAAACGCAACTCGATTAATGAAAGTAATCTTTGAATAAATTTATTTTTATTTGTATAGAGGAAAATGGAAACTAACATAATGGAAGTGAGCACAGAGGTTTTTTAAATTTATGGAAATCAATTGAATGCTGTGATATAATTAAAAGTGGCATCTAACTACGGTATACAATAATATTACCGCTAAATAGTTTTATAAATAAAATAGGTACTTATGTCATTGTCGGTCTAGGAATTTTTCATTTTAATATTTAACAAAAGTTCTGAAAAAATAACAACTAGGTAAGTTAGTTTTATTGCTATTAGTTGTTTGTTGAACTTACAACAACAAAACTACATCAAGTTTCAATAATATTTTTATATTATGTATGGTGAATGGATGAATAGGGTTTATTAATCAAAAACAAAGTCATAAAAACGATAATTATTATAAAAAAATCCGTTTATTATCTATAAACTTACCCGATATGTATCAAATATACTATGTATTCGTACAAAATAACATAACTGCTGGCTAAAATGACGTTAGTGCAAAGTGTAACGTGCAAATAACTTGTGCTTTCGAAATTAAGACATTATAAAACTATTATCAGTTATTAAATCTTATATTCATAATTAAATCATCTTAATAAACAATCAGCAATCAACAAGAAACGTCTGCTCTAAACGAACAGCAAGGTTATAACTTTAAATTTCAAATCACAAAGTTATTATACTATTGCTACTGATCTTACATGTCGACGGCGGACGTCGAGCCATGTGTTAAGTTAATTCGTACGGTGGGTTTGTGCTTTTTTTGTTCTTACAATAATATTGTTAATAATAGTTTGACTTCCTACACAACCTACACTAGAAATCCGTTTTATTGAAATATATTATTTACTAAGTACCTAGAGTAGTTATGGTCTCTTAAAATCTCTGCGGTGGTATCGTGTGCGTTAGGTGGTTACGTTCCCTCAAATAAAGTATAGTTGAGTTGTTTAGTTGAAATTAAAAAAAGCAGCCCTTGCTGAGTTTCTTGCCGTTTCTTGTCAGTACGAGATCTCCCGCCTTAGTTTTGCGAACCATTAGTAAAGTTTTCGACTTTCACAAGTACTATGTAACAGCCTAGACTGAATTGATTTTGATATTTATGTTAATATCATTCGTTTTGTGGACGCATAATGACACTTCATCTTCATCATCATTTTTGTTCTCCATTCCAAACCTGAATTCAATGAAAGTTACGAGCAACCAATAAGTTGGCTCATCACTAATGTTGACGTATCAACCAAACATCGTTCCTTTACACGTAACATAATAAACAACTTAAACTTACAATTAAAATAATATCAAATTAGTTTGAAAGTGAGATATTATAAGAAACACAAAACGATGTCATATTTATTAATCGAAAATACTCAATTTACATTTATTACGTCAGAAATAAAATTTGATTTGAAAAGGTATTTTTTTTTCAATTACGCAAGAGGATTTTTTATGTATGTAAATGTAAGAATTAGTCTATCTTCTATACCCTGTAAAAATGTAATTGTCTTTATTTTCTTTTTTTCACAGATGTAAAATTTGGGTACGTCTGTGCTGTACGTATATACTAATAATTTTATTTTTGCGTACATATTAGTAGCTGGCTTAACTGTATCAATTTAGCTTTTTTACTAATAGGCTCTTCTAAGTATGTATTTAAATTTCAAAGCTGCAAAAATACGCTTCTTTAGAACTGCACAAATTTTACACCTTTGGTAATAATATTAGTAAGCTATAATTATAAAGAAGGACAGAAAAAATATTCATTGAATGACGTAATTCATAGAAGAAAACAAAAAGGTTGCTAATAACTGCAATTATGAAAATGCGGCCACTTAGCATGTATCGGCTATCTTAGACTGCCCAACAATGCTCTATGACCCCAGGTTTATAGTATGGTTATTTATTGACGATATAGTCCTCATTGCATAGAATTTGTAAATTGACTTAAATAGTGAGTCTTTTGAGATTATAAATTAAAAATGCATATGTGATTATTAAACGGCAAGTGTAAAACTGATGAATAATGAGAGATGCATTAAAAATCCTACCAAATAAAGTTAAAAAAAAAACAATGAAACATGCGAGAGTCAAAAATCATCCTTTGCAAAGTCAAACCTCTGCCACCACCGCACCGTAACACATCTCTCAAAAACGGAATAAATACATTAATTCCTTAAAAAATAATATATATTAGCGTCTCAACACTGAAAATAAATCGATTATTTAATACAAGTGAATCGGTGTAGGAAAGATATAAATATACATCTATGATGTGTTATTAAAGTAGAATCTAATGGTGTACCCACTTTAATACCTGGTTTCCTAAATCTGGTACCGCTCTTAAATAATGAAATTTTAGTACAGTGCGAAACATGGTCGAACAGTCTTTGTACTCCCGTGCACTTGGCACCGCACCCTGCGCTAGCTTTACAGGGCCAGTGTTGTGATCGCATTAAAAATAACGCACGAAATGTCACACACACGACACAGAAACGTGTCGAAATGTCACACACACGACAAAACGGTGACGAAAAAAATAATTTAAACTTCGACATTAATGATGACACTGATACATGGAGAACCACTGATACGAATAACAAAATGAAGTCGAATCATAGACAGATTTATCAAAGGCAGGTATTCTTACATTTAGTAGGTACAAATTGTGCCCAAGGTTTTGTGTAACAAGGAGAATGTTGTTATTGTACCGTACAATATAATCATTCTCAGTGTTATAAACCAAAACCTACTTTTTTTCGAGCTTGATTCTACGTTATACACGTGTGTTATGAGATCGTATAAAAATAATTTCGCTATATTATATTAGTAAAGATAAACCAATAGATGTTAATTTAAATGTAAGATAACTATTTATTAAATATTTTCTTATCTTTTTCTTATAATAAACCATAAATAAAGTTATCGGTATTTTTAGTTCCTAAAACATGTGCAAAACTTCCCCAAATCAGTGCGGCACAGGGAGCATAAGATCTTGTATTTTATTTTAGCTACAGATTCTAAATTAAATAAGCTGTTCACCTACGCCTTCAGATTCATATAAAACAATTCATTATTTATAATATTCAAGACAAAAATCAATAGAATTTAACGTAACAGGGTTTTATAAGCCCAGTGCCGCCACAATGATAGTTTTATGGCCAGGTTGAAAACGCCCTGTACCGCAGGAATGATAAGAACAGAAAAATCGGCGCCGCTTCGAACGTGTTAAAACACGGTTCGTTTATTCGACGTTCACAACTATGGCCATACTGACTGACTGACAGCACCAAAGAGTAGTATAATATAGCACTCAATTATACTTTTACTCTTTGCTCACAACACTGCTCAACATTGTCACAAATTGTGAATACTGAATGATTTTTGCATCCTTTCTTAAAAATACGTTTTTAATATTTAATTTACGAATCCTGTATCGACTTCTTTACTATCACTTATCATCTTTATACAACAGAACTGCCTATAAGGTGCTAAAGGATCGACAAAGAATTGTTGTGACATATTGTTTATAAAATAATTAGAAGTATTAAATTTTTAGTAAAATTGAAGTATTGAAGTGAAATAAATACCCTAACACATTAATAACAATAAAAAATTTGACCAAGAATACTGAAGGTAAGCTTTTAGTTCTGCAGAAATTTAATGTATTTATTTTACGAGTTTGTATAGTTCCTATAGTTTGATATTGTCATTCTTTAATTGGACTGAAGGTTAAAGCAGCACACATTAGGAGTAGTTGACTCACAATATACAAATCAATTAGGAATACTTTGCAAAGATAATAGTTACAGGGTTAATGGAATATTTTCAAGCTGCACTAGATATCTGTTATATCAAATTCTTATGATCTGTGTACAATTTTGTATCTTGTATATTAGCGTGATTAATCTGTGATTCTAGTTAAAATAACTTTTGTATAGGTCAGTCATAAGATGGGTGGCTAAAATTTACTATGTTGAGTTCCTTAATGCTTCAGAAGGCACATTAAGACAGCTGCATTTGTTGTCATTAACACATAACATTAGTTTGTTGGTTATGGCCCATTTTATCTATACCAGTGGCCTGGATTACTTTCTGGTACTTGGAAACATCCTAAATGGCCTGAAAAGCTAAATAGAATGATCATTTACTTCAAGTAAACAATAAGCAAAGTTGATAGGTTGCTAGATATTGTAAGTTCAGTTATTAAAATATATTGCGGATACAATAATTTTTCTTATGTCTTTGCAGAGTTACACATAGTACAAATATTTAAAAAAATATGGAGATAATTCAAAACGAAGACTCAAATACAAGAAACGGTGCTGAGAATGTACGGAGAGACGACATGAATAATGAAGTTTCTTCAACGTCAAGTGAAGATATTACGCAGAACAGTAATTTTACTAAATTCAATAACTTTTATAAGGCTCGTTATACGGAATCTGCAGCTTCCGACAATGAAATAGAATCGAGACGTCCTGCTCCTTCGAGGAGTCTCTATAAAAGCATGGTAAACATCAACAAAGATGTAAGTAATGAGTTAAATCAAAATAGAGTACAAAATAGCATTAGCAATGTAGACATTAGCATTCACAGAGATGATGTGAAAAAATATGACACTTTACAAGTTCCAATAGTTGGGTATGAAGTTATGGAGGAACGAGCACGTTTTACGATATACAAATTGAAAGTTGAAGATGATAAACGTGATCAGTCTTGGTTAGTGTTCCGACGTTATACAGACTTTGTTAGACTGTACTCAAGAATTAAGGCTGAGCGACCGAATATAGTTTTACCTTTACCTGGTAAAAGATGGTTTAGAGACAACTTTGAGCCTGCTTTTCTAGAAGAGAGAGTGAGAGGTTTACAAATATTTATTAATGCAATATTGTATAAACTACCAAACGACCCAGTAGTTAGAGAATTTTTCTGTTTGGACGAACCTCCTCAAGTGTTTAGTTATCAACCGGAGGTGCAAGCAGTGTACGGTGCCTTGGAAGACTCTATAACGACATTAAAAATGCAACTGAAGCAGAAGGATGCAACAATAATGCATTTACAGAAACGGTTGTCACAATTGGAAGTGCAAACTAACAACTGCCCTAATTGTAGTACAAATAAAACTGGTAATCCAATGTGAGTATTTACTTCGGTTTTAAATTTTTTTTAAGCATTTTACCTTTGTGATGTAGATATATGGACTTTTCAATTAGTATTTAAGAATTTATTAATACAATTTTTGAATGTGGAACTAGTAGAAGTTGCTAGATTTTCATAAATAAAACAATTGATTTATTTCAAGACATATTACACTACAAAATAAGACTTAATTGAATTAACTTTATATAAATACATTATATCTAATTGATAAGAATATAAAGCATAAATTGTATTGTCCATATGGAGATAGCAAGGTAATTTTATTAGTAAATAATATAGTACAGACAATGAGTCATCGTCTGTAGAGTTGTTTTATAGAGGTATTACATATACAGTAGGGTAACCAAGCTTCAAGCTATCGCGGTTAGAAAGAGAGAGACAAGCGCGGTACATGTGAGGCCAGTGTGGGAAAAAAATTTGGATTCCATAGTTTTTTTTACAACTGAACAGAACGTAGAGATACTCATTAATTACATTAAAATATTAACGCGAATTTTGATTAGAGGAAGAGACAGTAAACGAAAATAAATACAAATCATTTTATTTCTGGTAGTGTTTAGTATATTATTAACGTAAGTAAGACGAGAGAGTAAATCTACAAGAACAAGAAGATTAAGAAGATAAAGGATCTTCTCTCTTTTTCTACCCAACAAACGTTTCTTCTTACAGGCAGCTGTTAGTATTCTCTACTCTTTTTATACCTCTATGGGTTGACAATAAATAATGGTTATAATGCATTGTTATAAGCGCGAAATGTGTTCATATATGACATAGAAAAACCACGGGACCAATGGACCACGTAAACCTTTAATCACCCATCTCACAAATGACCATTCGTAAGTTCCCGCCGCAATGAATATAAAAAGACTAGGTTTCCAGCGACTTCGTCTGCATTGTCCATATTAAACATCACCCTCCTCTTTCACCCCCTCGGGGGTTAAATGATTTGAAAAATTTTCTTAGTTCGCACTTATATCATGAAACGAACCCATACATCAAATTTCAAGTTTCTAAATACAGTAGTTTCGGCTGTGCGTCGATATATAAGTCAGGTTTGCATTTTATATGATGAACTAGCTTTCCGCCAGCGGTTTCGCCCGCGAGGTCCCTAGGGAACTGTTTATTTAGATACCGATTCATATAATTTAAATAACACGTTGAATAGTAACCAATGGTTACTATGGTAACGTTTTAATTCCCCATACAAACTTCCACTTCCATTTTCATCCCTTTATTTGCTGTTTTTCGGGTAAAATATAGCTTATATCTACCGCATATGATACCGAGTTTCGGAGCCTTTTCGATGACAAACAAACAAACAATTAAATCTTTCCTCTTTATGAATTGCTAATTTAGTCATCAGCTTTGTTGAACTTAAATGAAATAGATTTACAGTAGCATTTTATAATCGGACTCCGTCCAAATAAATTTTTAATGGGTGGACACACTCTTCTTCATAGACTATTATATAAATTGTAATATTTACATGAATACTATAAGAATATAATACGAAAATTGTTAGTTATTGTTTAATGAAGTCTAAAAGCATATTTATAAAGTGCATTTTTGTATAAACCTAACTCAATATAATTTATAAACAATGTGTTATAGAAAACAATCTGATAATATAAGTCACTTTTGAGATAAGTATTATTTTTCACTTTTTTTAAGTACGTAGTCGGTTCTATTAAAAAACAAAGTTTTTTTCATGCTTTTTAGCTATATTTATATTTATTATATTTTTTTTGTATAAATATCACTAAAAAGCATGAAATAAAATGTCTAACACTAAAAACACTTTTCTGAAAATCCCGTCAAAACCTTGTTAAAATTCGAACCTCTGTTTTTTATTCAGTTAACGGCCGTTTTCTATATCTTACTTTACTAACTGTTAATATGACTATCTCCAGTAGTTATCGCTGTTTCTATAAGCATAATTAGCATTGCATAGATAGCCAAATCCTATCCACAGTATCTATCTATCTCTCGGAGGGTCAATCACTAACAATAGATAAGTATCTTCGTAGAAAAAAAAGCTATCTTTTCAGAGACATTCTAGAGCTTACTGAAATGTCAGATGGTATCCGTAGATAGCTATCTTTCGGTTTCGAGTGGTAATTAAAAGATAGGCAAATCGATTACTCAGTGTGCATTGTTTATTTGCAAACAAAGAGTGTATTATGATGGATTTGTTTAGTGATGACAGTGACAATGATATATATCGAGCTGGAGTATTCCACTTTCACCACCACATTCATTTGCTACTTTCACCCGCTTCAAACACTATCAGAGCATATGATTGCCTCATCTGGCAATACAACCTCAGCTGCTTCCATGGGTCTATGCACTGGATCCTCTCTATCTCCACCGAATTGGACTGTAAAACCATTACATGTGGACCCCAGCATTGCAACTACACGGTCAAGAACATCATATGACCCAATAAAAGACTCCTCCTCCATTCTGTAAAATAAACATAATTTTTATACATATAAAAGCCACTGGTACTATGTGATGTATTATTCCTATCATACCTTTAAATTATTCTGCCTTATAGCTGCAGAACGTTTCCTAGCAGCCTTTTTTAAGTTTTCCCATTTAAGGCGAAATTGCTCTGGACGCCGAGGTGTGCACTACAATAATGTACAATGACTTTCCATGCCTCGTCTTTTATTCTATTGTTGGTAGCTTTTGTTGCCTTTGTTGTTATAATTTTTTGTTTTATTATCAAGTCGAGCAAGAGCATGACTTTATCTTTGTCCAAAGATCTTGCTTTCATCTGAAAATGAGAATTTTCGTTATTTTAAATAACTTAAATTACCTATAGGTTAATTAGAAAATAAACTTGTTAAAGTCAGTTAATTTACGGTTCAATACTTACGGTTGCAATTTTATGAGCCATTGCCGCTATACGAGTAATAATTAAAATAAAATTTATAAGCACGTCGAACAGAAAGAAGTTCCAACTTCCAATCAACGGACGGACGTATTTTTTTTTTTAATATGTACTTGTTCCGTTATACTCAGAAGTTTTGCCAACACGTTTCTTTTGTTTGTTTGGTGACAACTGACACTTAGAAAAGGCGTTTCGTTTCTATTGCAGTTATGCAGCGATGTTTCATTATCATTACAAATTTCGACATTGCGCCCCTAATAAGTGATTTTTGTAAGAATTATATAACATAACACTAAAATAATAGCAATTATAGTACGAATTAACAGAACAAAACTGTTTTAATAATATTTTTAATCATACTGTCATTTGTATTGAAAGCAAAAATGAAACGTTTCGGAGGGATGCGCTTATTGGAGTTACAGGGTGCTATCTACTGTTTATCTCAGATAGGTGTTTGACAAAAAGGTTATGAAAACGGTGGTAACAGTTAATGCCACTTTAACTGTTTATCTGAGATAGCCTTCAGTTAAATATAAGTAAGATATAGAAAACGGCCGTTATATAGCTTAAACCTTCTCCTAAGTCTAACAAATACTATGCTAAAAACCGCATCAAAATCGGTTCAGCCAAACGCGAGATAATCGCGCACAAACATACATACAAACATACTGGTCAAACTGAGATCATCCTTTTTTGAAGTCGGTTAAAAACTAACTTCCCGCCAGCGGTTTCGCCCGCATTAAAATCCAATATGTAATTTAAAAGATCTCCGCGTACAGAAAGTGGAAAACAACTTTGTATTATAAAATGCATAGAAAAACATGTTTTTATGTAGATTATAAAGAAACGTTACGATTTAATATACTTATTATTCTTAATATCTGTCAATTGACAGGTATTAAGAATAATAAGTATATTAAACCGTATAACGATCTCTCTTATAACTCTAGCCATAGCTATAACAGCGTTTTATCGATTCCTTTCGATTGTTTTAGTTTACTGAATTATTAGACTAAAGTAACATTTGTAAATTTAGTCATGTAAATAGTAATGTAAATTTACAAAATGTAAATTTAGTCTTATTTTTAGATAAAGCAATTTCGAAAAGATAAATTAACCAAAATGTCAGATAAATATATAAATAACTCGCTTTGCTCCAGCGACTTCGCTCGCGTTCGTCCCTAGTGAACTGTTTCAACTTTAATATAATTGAATCCCGTGTAAAAGCTTAAATAATTTAATAATTGATATATATTCATTTTGTGACACAGATATAATTACAATGACATATTGGATAGTAAATAATGGTTGCCATGATAACGTTTTAATTCCCTAATACAAACTTCCACTCCTATTTACATCCTTTTATTTTTTACATCCTTTTATTTGCTGTTATTCGGGATGAAATATAGCCTATGTTCACCGCGTATGTGAAAGAATTTTTAGAATAAGTCGAGCAGTTTCGGAGCGTCTTCGATGTAAACAAACAAGGTCAAAATTTTCTTCTTTATAACATTAGTTTCGATATACGGTGCTATTAATAAACAAGGTTTAGCGGCAGAGTAAATTAATTATAATTATAGAGTAAATTTATGCTAAAATTTCAATTTAAGTATTGGTCTTAATTCATATTGTAATGAGAATAAGCAAACCTACTACCTTCTAGGAGTAAATTTACTCACGCAGTACCTCGTACTAGGTTAACCTTTGCCAAGTCTCTGTTTAATAATATGAATTTTGACTAATACTAAGTGCAGTCTCAGCGTAAATTTACTCCAACGCTAAATCTTGTTTATTAATAACGCTGATATAGTATAGATTTAATTATAAAGGATTCCAACAGATTCATTTGTAAAAACAATAAAACTTTTTTATAGCTATAGCTAGAATCAACGGTAGATAGTAAGCCAGCTCTACAAATTCTCAATGATTTGTGTACTATATTAATATATTTTTACCAAATACGTATTGTAGGCTATTATGAATGAAAGATATTATATCTCTAAGGTGCTGTTTTTTGTCTCAATATAATTATACCAACAATTTTCTTATCCATAAACTTTTAATTTTAACTTCCAGACCTT